TAAATTCATTGTAAAAATCAATATAATTTCATACCTGATATCTGCGCCATGGCTTGGAATCATTGACTGTAAATCAGTTAAGTATCCCTTCGGGTCGACGACCGTCTGACCGGTGACCGAATCTGATGCCTGATTGAGCTTCAGATCCATGAGAGTGTTCCTCGCCTGACCTATTTTACGCAAATCCAGATTCCCTGGAGTGACAAACCCTCCCGGAGTCATCAAACCCGTCGACGTGCCCGCAGTCATCGGTGTCTTAAGCCCTGTTCGCGGGTCAATGGAGACCACAGTCTCTCCGGAACCGATGGACGAGTTGTGCGCGAGTATAGAGTCGGGAACGGGAGTGAATTTCTCTGCGCGAGGATTTCTCATCTTCTTATTCCTGGCGTCGCCGACCTCTGGAATGGTTCGCCACTCGTCTTCTGTGACGGCATTCAAGTCTCTCTTCAGGTCAGAGAACTGTTGCTGTATTTTCGGTCTTTCCTGTCGATAGCGCTCTAATTCTCGCCTCAATTTGTTTTCTCGATATTCTTTGCGCTTTTCATCCATACGTTTATCAATTGATTCGTATATCTGATCCGCTTCTTCGTCGTCCTTATCGTACGGATCTTTACTGAAAAGACTTCCGCCGTAACCGTTGAACTCATCGTAATTCGCGTCATTCAAGTCTTCCTCGTCTTCCTCTTCTTCGTCGCCCTTTTTGTCTCCACTCTTGCGAACGATCTTCGGTTTGGGCGGCGCGTGTCTGTCATCCCTAAGAGATTGTTCTCAGCATTAGTTCGCAATTCATTGCACAAAACAGTTATAGTGAATGTCTGGTCACTTACGGGACATCACTGGCATCCCTGGCCGGACCGATATCGCTTCTGGTCGTGAATCCGGTCGCGCTGTTTAAGTAAACCCAAGTTATTAGCGTTAATCACGTCATTAGTATGCAATACATACCCCCTTCCGGCTCCGGCCACATAACCCAACGGCGCCGGTAGTCCTGAATGAGTTGATTATCAAAATAATTAATTAATTAATTATGTCATGAATTGAATTGACATCAAAAGTGATACAAACCTATGAAAGCCTTTTTCTTTTTGCTGACGAGAGCCCCGGGATGGGCCACATTCGTGAGGCTCGGGTTCATTGCCACCGATTCACACAACACCTGCTTTTGGTGACAATTAGTGACCAAAATGTGACTACAATTCAAACGTTATTCAAATGTATGACTCTTTCAGTGTTTGTTTGTGTCGGACGTCGACTGCAATGCAATCTATGGACCGATAGTTATATAAAAGATTTTCTCATTTTATTGTCCGTATGTATTGAATAGGTATTGAAATATGCATTCAATGTATTGTATCTCTCATTCAAATTGTGTTCAAAGCATTAATTAATCGATAATTTTGTTGTTTCGCTAATTGAATGATGTTTTGAGATCAGGTATGTCTTGAGCGGCGGTCACCGCCTGTTATATTGATGTGCTTTTGGCTATTGATGTGACAAATGGTGTCTATAATGGGGGCAACACTTCCTTTGGCACACACTTCACCATAAAATCACTTTTTTAAACACTAATTACTGATTAATTTGACACAAATTTGATAAGTTTTTGGCAATTATTTGAATGAATATATAGTTATGTTTGCTATGAATTGACAATGAATTGAAATGAAGGATCAAATTGAGAGATAGTTAAGGATGTGCTGAGAAGTGCTGTCAGTCTAACCATTGCTACCCATCGATAGGCATAAGCACTGAGTGGTCATTGAATGCGTCACTCATCGCATGATTTGTTGAATGAATTAATTGTTTAATTAATTGCTTACCATTTGTTTGTCTCGAAGAATGGGGAGGAATAAGAGGACGATTCGGAGGACTAATAAACAGCTATTAGTTGAACAGCCGCTGAAGAGAGCGCTATCACAGACTGGTCTGAAAGGCAACGCCAGCACTGGATTTGGCTCCAAGTCCTTCAAACCCGTGACAAACACCGCTCTTTCAACCGATTGTTTGGAACTGCAGACGAATGTCGGATCAGCTCAAGACAATGTCACAAATGATGAACGATTGGACAGCGATTGTATCGACCATTCGCTGACTCGCGAACCAATCAATTTGGGCGTTAAAAATGTTCAGCAAATTCTCAATTGTATTAAAGACTCTTCACTTGAAGTGAAAGACTTGATCCTAAATGAGTGTAATATCATCTATGAGTGCAAAGTCTGTACAAATCTATTCAGAAGTTTGGCCAACTTTTTGTCCCATAAAAGGATTTACTGTAAAAAGCATTTCTGCGAACGAATGCTTCTCTTCTCTTCGACTCACTTCCAGTTCAATGATTACGACGACGACAACGATAACGACAACTGCGATGATAATGATGTCGACGAAGAAGAGCACAGCGCCGAACCCCAGACCCCAACCCCTGAACCGACCACTACTTTGCCTCAAATTCAAATCGTTTCTCCGACTTCGAGTTCGGCCACAAACAGTTCCACAGAGAATATCAATCCAAATAATAAGTCAAATAAGGAGTCAATTGTATCACAAAAATTGCAATTTATTGACAAATGCGTTGAGAAAGTGGACGAAGAGAAACAAAGACAGGAAGAGTGCAAACAATTGGATCTTCAATTGACGACAATTAAGACAAATCCTAACGCAATGTTTCAAAAGATTCAAAGCAATGAACTGAACGGCGATTGCAATCAAACAATTATCGACAAAAAGAAAATCCTTTGCGATCTTCTTAAGGAAGCAAAGAATTCCCGACAATTGGAGTCAAGTGTGAGTCAAACCATTAAAAGACAGAGAATCGATGAAATCCTTCCACTAAACGATGATATGTCGGATGAAAATCGTAACAAAAGTCCAACGAATGAGACTCTTATGTGTGATATTTGTGACTCGACTTTCACGTCAACCAAGACATTGAGAGTTCACATGAAGACAATCCATTCGTCTAATCGACTCGTATATCCGTGTCCTCTCTGTTCGCTGGCATTCAAGCAGTTGTCAAACGCGACCAGACATTTGATTCAGATTCATAAACGAACCAAAACTCAGGCCAACAGTTTGAAAGAAGTCATGAAAGTTAGGGCTTATTCCACGAATAGCAGTGAAAACAGCTCTGAAGTCGAAGATATGAGCGATGAAGAGATGGAGGAAGAGGTTGCAGTAAATAGCAGTAACAATGTGTCGGATAAGTGCAATACCCGATCGGTTGGCAATGAGAACTCGAAGCCGTCGGCGCCGAGAGTGAGCACTGCCTGTCAGTACAAATGTGGTAATGTGTTTGATTGGGCGCCGGCCAAGACATCGCACGAAAAGAGTTGTCGTAAACGATTGCAAATACAGAATCTCACAAACGGTGTCTCAAAAGCCCATAAAATCAGTTCCCAAACGCAGTCAGAATGCGATTCAAGCCAAGAGTTATCAATAGTTCCTAACATTTCAAACCATACCTCCAACGCCTCATCCAATGTCTCTATGAATTCATATACAAATCTAATTCTGCCGAACAGTATTGAGGAGCAAATCAAAGAGTTTACAGATCTTAAGTCACTTCAATGCACACACTGTCCGACGCAGGACTTTATGAATTTGAATCAATTACTGCAACACGCGGTCACACATATTGGGTTCAGTATATACAAGTGTCACGGATGTGCTTACCTTTCCATCTATGAAAATGACATGAAATATCATTTAATGAATAATCACAATATCAAAGAGCAAATGATTGGCAAACACTACCAAACATTGCCTGATTTCAAGCAACAAAGGCTTGTCATACATCCCATTAAGTCGACCAATAGTGACGATATCCTACATCCGGATACTTCAGGTTAGACTCGGATTTGCATTATTTGATTCTATTGTTAAATTTTGTTTATCAAACAGATTCACCCGAAAGGCCTGAACGCAATACTAAGCTTAAGATCCATTTAAGACCGAGTGCTTCAAAATTAGGGCACACCTCCAAAAAGTGCTACGAAATTGTCGACAAATAAATGATTTTATAATTCAAATTTTAAAAACTTGTTGACATTATTTAATTGATATTTGAAATTTATATTCGTCTAATGTTATCGCAAAACGTCTATTAATTTTCAATAATAGACTGAAATGTAAATAAAATGATTGAATATTTTCTATATAAGAATATTTTGAAAGAAATTTATCTTTTAGTAAAGTTAGTCATTATTGAGATTCTTGTAAATATAATTATAATATAAAAGTCATTTGACTGTGTTTTCTATTTGTATTTAATCAATAAATGAAAGCTTTATAATAATATTTGTGCAATTTTAATATGTCCACCATTTATATCTATAGATAATTGTGGTAAATGGTATAGATGACAGATTGTCATACAGTATTACGTTATACAGGTATTTATACTGTTTGTTGTGTCCAATATTGTCAACAAATATATATAAGTTTGAATTATTCATA